CTGTCTCCTCCTCTACCCCTCTCACACATGACTTTTACACATTTTTGAAAGATGTCAAATATCTCTCTCTCTCTAATTATCCAAAAATATATACATCCCAGAAACTATCTAGATAGTATTTATGTCAGTATTGCACAGCCCTACTCCAGTGTCTTCAGGTTGTCTAAAGCCAGATAAAGTCTCCGCCTGTGTGGATAGACCAGTGGTGGTCAATACTACATCTTTGCTTCACGCCTTAGCTGCGTGGATCTGGTTATTTAAAAGTCCTCGGTGGTCGGATAAATTGCCAAAAGCGGTTCACAAACATTCTGCCAGCATACCTAACTTACAACAAGGCCATTTACAAGTCTGTGCTTCATGAGGACCATAAGCTGAGGTGAATAAGTTATTGTTTAATTCAATTTTGAATTTAACACAACATCCTTGATTGTAAATATGATTTTTGCTGTGCAATATTACATAATAAACCGATATAACAAACTGTATTTTGGGCATTGCTTTAAAAAATTCTCTATACAAAAAATGATGTACACCTTTTAAACTGAGCTGATGCTCCTTGAAATTTTGAATAAGTAGTGCAGCAGCTCAGTACTGTTGAAATTAAAATTGTGTAAGAGTTAATGTAAGAGAAGTTAAGTTAATTCATATTTTTGAGGTAATTTACTAAAAATATATTTACAGTGTTTACGCTACGATATTAAGCAGAATCTACCTCTGTGTTTTCTTTGCATTTACTTCAGTCTAACTCCTGCTAGCTCCTGATTGGTTAGTTCAGTCATGTGAGAGGGAGGACAAGGAAGTGTTGTTGTTGTGAGGGGGGCTGACGAGGTGTGGAGAGTAAAGTGCTGCGTAAGAAAGTTATCCGTCTCCATCCTGTTGTTTCTTCTCATAAAGAGTGTTCCAACCACCTAACATCGAACCCCCCACGTTACATTTGGTGGCAGCGGTGGGATGGCACAGCATCTTTCTCCAGCTGGCATGATATCAACAGAGGAAGCTGAATGAAACTCACCAAGGTGTTGACCAGAATGCAGCTCAATGTCGTCTCTGGAGGGATTCAAAACTCGAACAACATGCTGTGCCATCTCACCTGCACCTGATTCAGCCCTACCCATTCAGATAAATGAAACAAACCTGTCACCTTCTCAAGCCCAGTCTCTGAAGTCACTGCTTCAGAAATACTCAGTAGTATTCAGTAAACACTCAGAAGACAGAGGTCGCACAGGAATAATCAAGCAACGTATACGCACTGATGATGCCACACCAATTACACAGAGAGCCTGCAGAGTGACACCAGAACAGAGAGCTGAAATACAAACTCAGGTGGAAAACCTGTTGAAGGCAGATGTCATTGAAGAAAGCTACAGTCCCTGGGCTGCACCTGTGGTTTTGGTGCGTAAGAAAAATGGCACATGGCGTTTTTGCCTAGACTATAGAAAACTCAACGTAGTGACAATCAAAGACTCCCACCCTCTTCCAAGAGTCGATGGATGCTTTGTCTGGCTCGGCCTGGTTCTCCACCATGGACCTGCAACATGGTTATTGGCAAGTTGAGCTGGAAGAGGAAGACCGTGAAAAGACAGCATTTACAACAGGCAGTGGACTTTATCAGTTTAAAGTTATGCCGATGGGACTCACCAACGCTCCAGCCACATGCCAACGCCTGATGGAAATGGTACTTCGTGGCCTTCCATGGAAAACATGCCTCGTGTATTTGGATGATGTCCTCATTTACAGCCACTCTTTCAGTGAGCATCTCCAGCACCTTGAAGAAATCCTCTTCAGATTTCAGTCAAGTGGCCTGAAGCTAAATCCATCAAAATGCTGTTTTGCCAGAGATCAGGTACAATTTCTGGGCCATGTGGTATCCAAAAACGGCATTCAGCCAGACCCACGCAATGTGAAAAGTGTTCAAGACTGGCCTACTCCACGGACAGTAACAGAAGTAAGAGCATTCCTTGGACTCTGTTCATATTATCGCAAGTTCATCCGAAACTTTGCACATCACAGCGTCCCACTACATGCACTCACTGCAAGGAATGCTGCTTTCCAATGGACTTCTCAGTGTCAGGATGCATTCACTTACTTGAAGCATGCACTCACAAACCCTCCTGTGGTCGCCTTTCCTGACTTCACATCACCATTCTCCCTCTACACAGATGCTTCATGTTCGGCTATAGGTGCTGTACTGGCTCAGACACAGGGACATCAGGAAAAAGTGGTTGCATACGCTAGCCATGTTCTCACAAAAGCAGAAAGGAAGTGGTCAACTTACGATAGAGAACTCTGGGCTATCGTCTGGGCGGTACGACATTTTCGCCACTATCTTTACAAGTAGCCCTTTGTTATTATCACAGACCACAAACCTCTCTTGGGTCTCAGGAAAATACCCATTGACAATGACAGAACTGGTCGTCGTGCAAGATGGTCTTGAACTTGATCCTTTTGAGTGGACTGTAATTCACAAAGACGGCCACCGCCATCTTAATGCAGATGCTATGTCACGTCGCCCGGCGGACACCAGACCAACAGAGCAGAGCACCTCCTGTAAGACTCTTGCCAGTTCACACCCTAATGAGAGGCATTCAAGCCCTGTAAGGCCATCTTGTCTTGTCAGTTCTGTACATCACCATAGCCCCTGCAGTACTAATCCGAAACCAATTTCCTGTAACCAGACCACTTCACAGACTCCAGCTCCAGACTTAGTGTGCTCCCCAGTCGGTCTCCTCCACATTTGTGCTTCAACTCCCTGAAGAGGAGCTTAAAAAGGCACAACAACAAGATGTCACACTGTCCGAGGTTATTAACTGGAAAGCTAAAGGTCAGAAGCCTCCATACTGGTACATGAAAAAACGCACGCCTGTTGAAAAAGCACTTTGGCAAGAGTATCACAGACTTACCTTTCATAATGGGTTTCTCTGTCGTAAAGTGTTCGATCCACACACTAAGTCAGCACTTTATCAGGTTGTTGTTCCTCATGCCCTTAAAGACACTGTCCTACAGCTGTTGCATGGGAATCCAGTAACTGGTCATCTGTCAGCAGACAAAGTCCTGAAACGGGCTCAGCAACTGTGTTACTGGCCATTCATGTCACGTGATATTAAGATGTGGTGCAAGCAGTGTACCCCATGTGATGCGAGACGGAGTCCCACACCTCATCAGAGAGCTCCAATGCAAACTATTGTTGCTACTGAGCCATTCCAAAAGGTTGCAGCAGACATACTTGAGCTCCCCATCACCAGCCGTGGCAACAGGTATGTGCTTGTTGTTCAAGATTATTTTTCTAAGTAGGTCAACCTCTATGCCATTCCAGCGCTCTACAACAGTTGCAAAATTTCTGTTTGAAAACTACATCTGTGAGCATGGGATTCCAAAAATGCTGCACACAGATCAAGGACGGCAGTTTGAGTCTGACCTAGTGAAGAACCTGTGTCAACTATTGGGTATTCAGAAAACAAGGACCAGCCCATATCATCCTCAGTGTGACGGCATGGTTGAAAGGTTCAATAGGACACTTATAGATCAGTTAGCCAAGTTACTTCTTCAACAGTCAGGTGAATGGGATGACTGTCTCAATCAAGTTGCTTTGGCCTACAATACCAGCCCTCACTCTACTACAGGCTTCACTCCGTTCTTCCTCACACATGGGCATGAAGCTAGGATGCCTGCCAACATACTGTTGCCTAACAACACACCATCTTCATCTACTCCAGGTTCTCATTCTGACTATGTCGCACAGTTAACCCAGAAACTTCAGTCTGCCTTCAGCGCTGCTTCCTGGAACAGAGACTGTGCCCACAATCGTCAGAAACGGCAGTATGACAACAGTGCCAAGCACACTCGCTATGTGCTCGGAGAACTTGTGTGGTTAAATGACCCCACTACAGCAAAACAAAAACTCGCTCCACACTGGAAGGGCCCCTTTGAAATATTGGAGTGCCTTGGATCTGATGTGGATTCTCCGGGAGTGACCTACAGGATTCATTACCTCCTGGATCCGTCTAGCAAATCCCAGGTAGTCCATTACAACCGCCTCAGACCTTACAACGCACCTGTGCCTAATTGTGGACAGAAGACACCTGTTTGTGAGTCATCTTTGCAACCTCAACTCCCTTGCTTGACGGCATTGTCGGGTGATTTGCCCTTTACATCTTCACGGTTTGCAGCATCCAAGGGCGGTACCACTCCGGGCTGCCGCAGTGCTCCCTCAGTGACCCCTCAAATCTGCCAGCCACAGACCAACTCCCACTCTCCCTTGTCCCCTACTTCTGGGACTGTTCCCCCCTCAGGCAAGTTGTTAGTTTGCCAGTCTGACACGGTCCCCTCTGCCATTCCTGGGCAAGGCTTAGGTTCTTCAGTTCGCCCAAGACGATGTCAAGTTAGACCTCCCAGATACCTGATGGACTATGTTCTAAAGTAAGACTGTTGCCTTGTTCTTCTAATAGCGGTTGCTGCTTCTCCGTATGTAATGTGAAACGGGGACGTTTCTTTTCGGGGAGGAGGAAGAAATGTAAGAGTTAATGTAAGAGAAGTTAAGTTAATTCATATTTTTGAGGTAATTTACAAAAAATATATTTACAGTGTTTACTCAGTTCACTGCATTTTTATTTGTATCACAGTTGGTATCTACATATTTAAATGTTTAAATCATTACATTTGAATCTGTAAATCAGCTACGATATTAAGCAGAATCTACCTCTGTGTTTTCTTTGCATTTACTTCAGTCTAACTCCTGCTAGCTCCTGATTGGTTAGTTCAGTCATGTGAGAGGGAGGACAAGGAAGTGTTGTTGTGAGGGGGGCTGACGAGGTGTGGAGAGTAAAGTGCTGCGTAAGAAAGTTATCCGTCTCCATCCTGTTGTTTCTTCTCATAAAGAGTGTTCCAACCACCTAACATCGAACCCCCCACGTTACATTTCAATACTTAAACCATTAGTATTCTCCTCTCTGACAAGTAGGCTACTATTTCATATTAATCAGAAGGAAAGGTGCTCATCAAAGTGGAATTTACATCATTTTATTAAAAAATAGCTGTTTATCTTTTATCATGAATTACAGCCTTCGCCCCGACTGGGATTCGAACCTGCGTCCAGATAAACGTTCAGCACCTCGGACCGCGGCCGCAAAATGCTGAAATCACATTAGCTGTCAGTGAGTTACAACTATCGGCGGCTGGCCACCCGGGAGACCATAAAAAATCCCTATCTTAAGTAAATTAGTAAATCCATCCATCCATCCATCGTCAACCGCTGATCCTGCATACAGGGTCGCGAGGGGGCTGGAGCCAATCCCAGCTGACATTGGGCGAAAGGCGGGGTACACCCTGGACAGGTCGCCAGTCCATCGCAGTAGATGAAAAAGTGGATGTCCTATTTAATTCTAAACACCTAAAAGTGTATACTGACCGAAATGAACAAACATCTCTCAACAACTCCTCTGATGATGGATGGAGACAGCCCACATGTAAAAACTATACACATAATAAATTCTACATTTATTGTATTTATGGCACTACGGTGGTATTTAACTGTAGATGCTTATTGTACAACATTCAACACGTCCACAAAAGTGAATTCAACTAAAAGACTCATCTGCTCTTGGTATATCTGAGCTGCTGTGTGCATAGTTGAAGCTACTCCACTGTATTTATCTGACCACTTTAGGTACTGGTTACTTTGCAGATTCAGATAAATCGTCATCTAATAAATTATGATGTAATGTCAGCGGAAAAGATTTTTCACTAACAAGCATGCTGATTCACATTTAGTTTGGACCAATCATAGGGCAGTATGCATCTACAAGTGTGAGGTGACGAACCAGTGCAAAAAACACACACAGTGAACTTTACAGTGAAACAGACATCTTACATCCAGAAAGTGAAACTTCAAGTCATTGAAACAAGGCACCAGTATTCTTTCTTTCATATGATTAAAAACACAATCTTTCTTTAAAACTAGCGTTGAGGAAAGAAATGCACAAAACACGTTTGACTTAAAGAAAACAAATAGTGGTTTGTTACACCTAATGTAAATAAAACTTAACAACAAAACCAACAAGACAACATGAATAAAACACATAATTCTTCACACAATGAAAAATACAAAGTAACAAAGTAGGGATGCAGCAATTATCGGATTCCACTGTAACCACTCTTTAAAACGTCCGTTAATCAATCAATGAGTGTTTCTGTTGCACAAAACAAAAAAATAAGTTACATGAGTGCTGCAACAGCTTAAAGTGCTATGCTTATCAGAGAGGTGGAGGCTACTACTGTTCACTGGCTAAACTCTGGCAGAGGGAACAAACTGCTTCCACTAAAGAAACGTCTGAACTCGCCAGTGTGGGAGCTTTTCCAAGACTGACCAAGGAAGAGACTGGATTCTAAATGAAGTTAATACTCGTCTTATTTAAATAATACTTAGATATTATTATACAAATAGAATTGTGAAGTTGATTTTTTATGTTTAATTACATTAAATCATTACTGGTGTTGTGAAATTAATTAATGCATAATAATCATGAAACTGTGATTATTCCTCAGACTATAACCGTACCAACAAAATCTGTAATTGTTACATCCCTACAACAAACTGAGAATGAGCCAACAATCACATATTAAACCGTAACTTAAAGACTCTGGTTCAGCTCTTTATAATCAGCAGTGCAAACAGCATCAATAAGATTAAAATAGCAGTCAGCATCGTATTTGATGGAGTCTTTGGCACCATGATATTTATAAATTATACATCCTCAGGGGCGGACTGGCACAATAATTCAGGCCGGGTATTTGACTCCATCCCAGACCGCCCTGTTCACGTGAACCACCTGACAATGGAAGGAAGTTATCCACATTTCTAAATACAAACATTTGGGACTGACCAACACGTAAACTGAGTTTTCAAGGTGGCTGTATGGTTAAAAACTCCTGAGAAATAGAGAAATCCTAAAAATATACAAACGTACAAGGCTAGACACAAAAAACTATTATCCTACGTGTTATATTTATGTCATAAAACTATGGCACTCAGTCCTCCCCCCAGCTGCTGGTACAGTCTATGGTTATCTCTATTGCAATGTCCTCCTAGTAAGTCTTCCAGTTTGTGCAACTACAATAGGTTCAGAACGCAGTGTTGTTTCTCACTTTGGATAAAAAAAAAGGTACAAAAGACATTATTTTAAATAGGCTACATTACAGATTTTATTCTAAGAACCAGATCTGGGATCTGTTGGTTTAACAAGTCACCTGATTATTTAGGGCATCTGTTCTTTTTGGTTTTAGTTCCTGAGTTTTTGGAAATAAATATTTGTCTGGTCCCTTTTTTTAAAGTTCCGTTATGTCTGGTCCCTTTTTCTCATCACATTGTTTACTTGTCACTCTGTTTTGTTGAGATATGTACTTTAGTTTACTTGGTAAGTTTTGCTCAATTCCTGGATGCCTCTAGGATTATGATTTTATTTCATCTCATAGCCAAAACATCTGATATAGCTGATTGACATAACATAACCTTTTATTGCACCAAATAGTTTAAAAAAAGCTCCGTCATAAGGCATTTATTAGTTTCTGACTCTGATGGGGGAAACAGTTCCCATAACTACTGTAACTCTGAACTCTCAAATATGTAGGTTATATTACGTGATCTCCTTTTGATAACTAATGCAATAAGTAATGTAATATTGTTTCCCTCCCATTCACTGAGCCTCCCCTGAAACTGTTTGGAGCCCCCCTGTGGAAAATATAATTTTGACTCAATAGTGATTCTTTCTATTGGCCTGCAGGAGCCGGCTGCTGACTGTATAAAGAAGTTTGATTGTCTAGTAGTCTATGAAAAGGACGCGACTTCTCACTTGATTTAATACCCCAGTAAACACTTTCCTAATGAATCCAAATGTGGTCAACTGGTTCCCAAAAAAACAAGATGGCGACGGCCAATTTGCCAAACTTGAGTTTCCAAAACGTTGGTCCACAAACCAGCAGGTGACGTCATGGAGGCCACGTCCACTTCTTTATACAGTCTATGGAGAGAGCAGAAAATACAGATAAGATACGATAATAAAACAGGAAAAGATTAAATCCCTGTAATAAAAACAGCCTTTGTGAATCTTCACTGATCTCTTGTCAGTGGTGTTGACCGTTCAGGAGGCTGCAGACTGTGATGTTGTTGAGCTGCCTCGTATTAGGCTGTAGATTACATATTTACAATGTCAAGTATGATGATCCAGTCTGTGGAACATCACTAGTGGATCTGCCAATAAACTGCACATGAAGGGAAACTTCACTAACTTTCAAACCGTGACGAAATAAGTGATTATGATCCAACACACCTTTTGTTGAATTCAGCAAATACACTGCGTGCACAATTATTAGCCAAGTGAGTATTTTTACCATATCATCATTTTTATGCATATTTTCCAACTCCAAGCTGTATAAAGTTGAATGCTTATTATATTTAAGAATATCAGGTGATGTGTATGTGTGTGACTAGGGAGGGTGTGGCCTAAGGAGATCTACACCCTTCATCAGTGGTCGGGAATAGGCGAAGCTGCCCACCAGCAATAATATCGGATTACTTTGATAGAAAGAAATTATAGCGACGGGTGCTGAAACAGATCTCAGACATGACAGCAAAGGTTACTCACATAATCACTTCCTTTTAATAAGCCCACAAAATAAAAGCATGAGATTTTTTTGCAGTAGTACTTTATGTCATGTTTAATTGAGAACTTTTACTTTGGAAAGTTCTGAAGGAAATGTAAGTCTCTGGCTTGCTTGACACACCTCTGAAACAGCCATCTGAAAACGAGAGATCGATTTCCCCTGAATGAGAAAAGCAGAAATTTCCTCTTCCTGGAGATACTGGGGAAATGAAAATATGCATCCATAGGATGATGTTGACCAATCACCGGGAGGCACAAACTCCTGCATATGTTTTATTGTGAACATGTAACACGATCTCTACACAATCCATCTGTTGAAAAATGAAGAAAATTGGAATATAAATGGCCAATTGACGATGTTCTGACCCGCCATCTAATGACTTTTGGCCCCATGCCAGACTTATTTGCTGATCCCTGCCCTATATACACACACAGGTGTGCATAATTATTAGGCAGCTTCTTTACTTCAGACAAAATGGGTCAAAAAAACAAAGATTTAACTGACACTGAAAAGTCAAAAGCTGTAAAATGTCTTTCAGAGGGATGCAACACTTGAAATTAGGGCTGGACCCTGAATATTCGATGTAGGAGATGTGAAAGTTAGTTAAGTTCCCCTTCATGTGCAGTTTATTGACAGGTTTCTTCAGACTGGATCATCATACTTGACATTGTAAAAATATAATCTACAGTCTAATATCAGGCAGCTCCAGTAGCAGAATTATCCATCCATCTGAAAAGCATTTCTGACTTTTCACTGTCAGGTAAATCTCTTCTTTGGCCCATTTTACCTGAAGTAATGATTATGTAATAATTATGCACACCTTGATATAGTTTGTTTATCTCCTTAGGACACACTCTCCATATTTACACAAATACTCATCACCTGATATTCATACATCTAATAACCATTCAACTTTATACAGCTTGGAGTTGGAAAGTATACAAAAAAATACTCACTCACCTAACAATTGTGCACGTAGTGTATTTGCTGATTTTAACAAAAGGTGTACTGGATTACAGTCACTTACTCTCCCTTTAAGGGAGCTACAGTGTGCATGTTTTCATTGTTGTCTTCTGTTGGTCCAACACCTACAATTTATTTAGATCTGTGAGACTAATATACATGATTCAGTTTAAAGATTCTCACACACCTTGACAGCAGCTCTGCAGGATCTCAATGATAACCGTTTCTGTACTCACGAGAACCTGCAGAAAAGAAAAATATATTATTACATAAAATCAACAGTTATAACATACAAATCCGCAGAGAATCAGCAGAGAGTCTATTATTGACGGAAGGAAGTCGATCCTAAATAAAACACCCTGTGCAGACTCCCAAACGTAAAAACAACAAACATGGTTAAATCAGACAAAAAAAGAAACCGTTTAAATAAAATAGACACCTGTTCTCATGCTGAATTATTTCCTTATATCCTCCTTATTTTCACAGGAGATGTTTTTTTATTGTCCTCTCATGTGAAACTTTTCTCCCTAATTATGTCAAATGTTCACAACTTTCTTCTCTTTTCATTACAGTTTCCGGTGCTGGACAACGCAACTGCCCCACAACTCACAATTCAATTCAGCTTTATTGGCATGGACGTCAAACAACAACATTGGCAAAGCTTAAAATATAATACAAAAGATTCATTTCATTCAATAAATAACGTAAAAGTGTGTAAGTGTGTGTTAAAAATATATTAAAAAATAAAATTTGATGAATTTGTGAGCAGATAATGGCGAGCTAGAGAAGAAGGAGAGTCACATGTCTAATTATGGCTTCTGTGGATCTTTTTCGTTCATAGCGGCTCTGTCCGGCGGGGAACAGCTGCTCTAGAGTGACGTCAAAGTCGCATCAATTCCGACCGAGTGTCCAGACCTTTTAATATACAGTCTATGGTCCAGACTCGCATTTAAAAAGATCCGATCTGTATCAGATTTGGACCACATATCAAAGTGGCCCAAATCCGAACGGGAAAAGATCAGTTTCCATGTGACTGTTCACACAGTCATAAAAAGATCACATTTGGGCAAAGAATGTTAGCAGTAGAATATTTAGACTTTTACTTTCAAAAGAGAGAAAATGGAAAAACAATAAGTGAATGATGTTCAAAGATCTAAAGAAGATTTAAAGAAACTTAATTGGACATTTGGGGAAAATGTAGAAACATCCATTTAATGGACAGTGTTTATAACTATACTGATTTTTAAATCATCAATAAATAAAGTCTCAGTGGATTTTTTAAATATCAGTTATGTTGATGTCTGCAGATGTTGATACAATCCATTTTATAAACTCACCTTTAGTACGACTTATTTTGATGAACTTTGTAGCTACAAGAAAAGCTTGAACAGCAGCAACAATTACAGCTCCTAAAAAAATTCCACCAAACCATCCTGCGACAACTCCTCTGCTGCACGTGTCCACAAACAGTTTCTCTGAAACACACAACAAAACCTAGAGTCACACTCAGAATGTAAACTGTATCTCATGTGCAGCACACTGGTTATTACCTACACAGAACTACTTGATAACAATGAATTTCACCCGACACAGTGATGTTAGCGTTGACCTCAGAGCTGATGTCCTCCTGCTCGACTCGACAGTGGAAGGATTTTTTTACTATTTTCTGACAATTCAAATATTAAACACAGAGTTTCAAAAGTTGTTCATCTCAAAGTTTGTACATTTTGTTTGTGAGAAATATCTTGTGTCACTGATTTCTTATAACCACAGAAAAGTATCTTTTGTACTTACAACAAAAGCATCTTTCAGTTATCAGTGTAACTGCAAGGAGTGAGATTACAGACCAGGCTGCTGGCTGATTTATGTGTTGTTATTGTGTTATATCGGATCAACACATATTTATATCTTTATTTATGCAATTGGCACTAATGTCATACCAACCAGCCATAACATTATGACCCCCTGCTGGTCATAATGTATGCCTCCCCTTTGCCGCCAACACAGCCCTGACCCGTGGAGGCACACGGACTCTTTTTGACCTCCAGCAGCTCATCTGTTGGATCGGACCACAGGAGCCAGCCTTCGCTCCCTGCGTGCATCAGTGAGCCTTGGCCATCCAGGACCCTGTTTCCAGTTCACAGCTTTTCCTTCCCTGCACCCCTTCTGATAGGTACTGACCTCTGACCGTTTCAGAGATGCTCTGACCCAGAAGTTTAGCTGCCTGATATATCCCACCCACTGACTGTTGCCATGGTAACAAGTTAATCAGCGTTATTCACTTCACCTGTCAGTGGTCATAATGTTTTGGCTGATCGTTGTAATTTTGCATCGTCTAGTAAAAACTGCGCTTCAAAACCTGTATCTGCCTCCATGGTATCAAATTATTACCAGGAACTATCCCTGTTTATATTTAGAGTTAAAGTCTGATCCTGTTTTTACTTTAATTCAGTTTCTAGATAAAAATCATCAATGACTGAAATCTCCTCTACATCTCTGAGTGTCTTCGTGTTGTTTGTTATGTGAATCATTTGTGTGACTTTGCTGCTGTAACTCTGCAATCAATAAAGTTTCTCTATCTAATCTATTTATTTAATTACAGCTAATAAAACCTTAATGTGGCTGAATAATTCTTACAGTTCAGAACTGTTTTTCACTTGTTGCACAAAAAGATTTATGTCGATACCCAGGATCAGGCTGCAGCAGCCATTTATAAATCAGTTACTGGGTTTGTGAGTGTAGTTTACTAAATTCTTGTGTTCCTGTGTTTGATCAGACTGATCTCAGAGTTTCTTTCTGTTATTTCCCTGCAGACCCTCTCATTCTTCCTCTCATCTCTGTAGATTCATGAAGTCTCAGAGTCTCAGTATAAGAGTGAAGCTTTCACTCAGTTTGAAACTTTTTACACTTCTGCAGACGTCTTCATCACAACCTGCTTTGAGTTCAGTCTGAAGACGCTTAAATACTAATAACACAACTATTAAAATGAATGACATGTTAAAAACACAACCAGGAAGAATCTCACCACAGATAAACACGTGGATCTCAGTATAAATCTGATGTTTGATCTCCTCCTGTGTGGCTACACAGCGATAGCGGTCGGTCTTCTTCACAGTAGTGTTGACAGTGATGTAGAAGCTGCCTCCTCTTTCTGAGACCTGTGGCTCCTCAGCAGGAAGTTTGTTTCCAGCACTGTCCTGCCACTCTACTGTAGGTTTTGAAGAAGCACCAAGAACTTCACACTGCAGCAGGGCCCCATCAGCTGTTTGACCGAGTGCACTAACAGACGGCTTTTGAGCTGCACCTGTGAACAGAGTTTAAATGAAAATAAGTGACACATCAGCTATAAAAGGACAATAACAGGATTATAAATGTAACACTGTGATGTTTCTTGTTCGGCTCTTCTCTGCTTGTAAATGAGGATTAAAGTGTGTTTAACAGAAAAGCACAGTATCAGCCTCAGTTGCTCCTCCCAGCATTGTTAGATAGGACATGATATTTCAAACATTTCTAACTTCTACCAAAAGTCTGGAAACTATTTACAGCTGCAAACACTGTTTCTGACTCATATCATGACAGAAGCTCAGATACAGTGAAGACGTTTGGACAAACTCAATTTTTACATTTGTTGAGCTGAAAAAAATTATCTTGAAATGACGTCACATGAAATCTGTGGTGAGGATTAGATGACGTATCCCAACCCTCTGTTGAATTTTTGTACCCTTGGTAAGCGGAGCGAGGTACGTGTGTATTTAGATTTGTTGTTGATGTTGTGGAAAATTGATTATGTGATGTGTAATGTTGACGTGTTGTTGTTAATGTGTATATTTTAAGATATTTCACATTTATTGATGCCAAGGGCCACTACAGTCAACAAAAACTGAACATTATAAACTTCGTAGAGGCAGAATTTATAGCAGAGCTGCAGTATTGAATTACAATAGATAGTATAGGTGTACATTTAGAATTAATCAAGCTACATTCAAACATAAAACACAAAAGTACAACCCAAAGTGTGTACATGTTGTCACTGAGAAATATCTTGTGTTACTAATTTCATATAACCACAGAAAAGAATATTTTAATTATTAGAAAATCATCTTTCAGTTATCAGTGTAACTGTAGAGTGAGATTATAGATGATCAGATCTGCTTTACTCCAGACAGTTTCACAAGATGAACTGAGGTTTCACTGAGGTTCTCTACACCAAACTCGTTCCTTCAGGTCTTTATGGACCTCGCTTTGTGCACTGGTGCATAATCATGTTGGAACAGGAAGGGGCCGTCCCCAAACTGTTTCCACCAAGTTGGGGACATGAAATTGTCCAAGATGTCTTGGTGTGCTGAAGCATCAACAGTTCCTGTCACTGGAACTAAGGGGCCGAGCCCAACCCCTGAAAAACACCCCCACACCATGATGCCCCCTCCACCATACTTTACACTTGGCACAATGCAGTCAGGCAAGTACTGTTCCCCTGGCAACAGCCAAACCCAGACTCGTCCATCAAATTGCCACACAGAGAAGCGTGATTCATCACTCCAGAGAACACGTCTCCACCGCACTAGTGTACAGTGGCGACATGCTTTACACCACTGCATCCGACACTTTGCATTGCACTTGGTGATGTAAGGCTTGGATGCAGCTGCTCGGCCGTGGAAACCCATTCCATGAAGCGCTCTACGCACTGTTCTTGAGCTAATCTGAAGGCCAAGTGACGTTTGGAGGTCTGTAGCTATTGACTCTGCAGAAAGTTGGCAGCTTCTGCGCATTGTGCGCCTCAGCATGCGCTGACCTCTCTCTGATTTTATGTGGCCTGCAACTCCGTGGCTGAGTTACACTTTGTTATAATACCACTAACAGTTGACCGTAGAATATTTAGTAGGAGATTTCATGAATGGGTAGCAACCTATCACGGTACCACGCTTGAATTCACTGAGCTCCTGAGAGCGACCCATTCTTTCACTAATGTTTGTAGAAGCAGTCTGCAAGCCTAGGTGCTTGATTTTATACACCTGTGGCTCATGAAAGTGATTAGAAGACCTAAATTCAATGATTCGGAGGGGTGTACTAAAACTATAGTATAGTGTATTAGTGACATCATCACTCACCTCTAATTTCTGCTCTCCTGTCTTTAAAGGCGAAGTCTAAAAGACAAATGAGAACATTAATTACTGCACAGTGTTATGAACTAGTCATGTGTTATTAGTATAGCAACGGAGTCATTACTGAACATCTAAAATGGAGTTTTTAATTGGACTTTATTTGCAACCCAGAGAAGAAAATCCACAAATGTGTACTATGATCCACAAATATTTCACTGTCCACTAATAACTATTTTTACATTTGTGTTGTGTAAAATCCTATCCACACAGTATTTTTTACATGTGAAATGTTTTTTGCATATTTGTGGATCACAAGACATTTGATACTGATATGTAAAGATACTCTATATTGCCAAAAGTTTTAGGACGCCCCTCCGAATCATTGAATTCATAATCTGTCTGTCTTCTAATCACTTTCTCAGCCACAGGTGTATAAAATCAAGCACCTGGGCATGCAGACTGCTTCTACAAACATTTGTGATCAGTGAAATCAAGTGTGGTACCGTGATAGGTTGCTACCTGGGCAATAGGTTGATGAATGAGAACGCAGACTGCGAGCCAGGCCTCCTCGTTCAACATCTGTGCCTAACCTTACAAATAAGCTTCTAGAAGAATGGTCAGAAATTCCCATGAACACACTCCTAAACCTTGTGGACAGCCTTCCCAGAAGAGCTAAAGCTGTTATAGCTGCAAAGGGTGGACCAGCTCCATATTAATCCCTACGGATTAAGAATGGGATGTTATTAACCTTCATGTTCATGTAAAGGCAGGTGACCGACAGTTGACAGATTACCACCAACTATTGTCTTCCTCATCAGTAGGAGGCAACAAGGAGAAGGACTGTGGTTTCCATCAGCAGGTGAAAGTGGAAAATCTTTATTTAACCTAACGCTTGTTCAGGTTCAACAGTGATGGAATCAGAAGTAGTTGAGGCATAATGATCATTATCCTAGTGACAGTAAACCATAAGGTCACTGGTGATGGTGCAGTGGATAAGACACACAGACCCGGGTTCTCCCTGTGCCCCTGCAGTGTGCGACCTCTGACACGCACAGCAACTGTACGACGCTTTGGACAACACCGTCAAGTAAATGTAAATGTTTTTGTTATGTGATTACGGAAATGATGTAATGAGTCCTTCCATTTTCCCAGCATATACAGTATATTTAGTTTACTATTGAATACTTTATCACTGCATTTCCTTTACATTTAAAAGTAAATAAAAACGAGCCTGAAAAATGCGTCGTCTGTGGGTTACAAATAGTAAAGTCCAATAAAAGCTTCCATTTATATCATTGTCCAGTAACTTAATAAGTTACAATTAGTTTTGTGGCAGTAAAAAAACAGAAACAGTAAGAACACACAGATACCACAACACACACAATATTCCACAAATATCAAAAGGAGATGTAAAAATACAGAATACATAAGTACTCCATGTTTTAGTACCACTAAGATAAAGGTAATATTTACCAGCGTGGTTGGTCTAGCTGATATTTTTCAGTACTGTTTAGCAGTGAAATGACAAAGGGGATGAAGGAGTGTTTGTGTTTGTGTGTGTTTTGTAGTAGGAAACTGAAGGCAGGGACAGGATGCATTCTGCTTTCTTTAACAACCGTTTGTTAAATAAATCAGACAGACTTTTCTGTTGAGTAGCCATTTCAATCAAAGCTCAGCTTATTATCAATTATAGTACTTGTATGATTTAGTGTTGACAGGATTTGTCAAGAGATCATTTTCTGCTCATGGTGTTGTTAAGTTTTAGCAGAAAGATTCTGGTGTATGGATCTTGTTAGATTGATAATCTGTCAGGTGATGCATCGACCACAACAACACCAGCAGTCCACTCTGTTACTGAACAATGATGCAGGTCGACCATGATGATAAAAAAAAGGCAGAAAAAAAAAAAGAAATTTAAAAGCAAAATGATAAATTAACTAATCAAACACGATGCAAACTAAAAAACAGACATAATGCCACTGCTGCAGGTCGCTAATGTGCCCAATCCAATCAGGAGAACTTACATGTCAGTGGTTGTAGTAGAGGTAAAGCAGGAAGAGGAGGGAAAGGAGAAAAAGATGTCAGGTCATACCAGGTGCGATACCAAGAGCATCACAGGCCGAAACGGCGGGAGCTACAGGGTCAGACTTTAGCTGCATTTCGACCAAAGGAACTATACCCCGGAACTAGGAACCTTTGGAGGAACTCACTGCGTTTCCCCCGCAGGGACCATATTTTCTATGTTATTATATAGCAGTAGCGATAGTAGATAGTGGTTACAAATAATGATGCCTGTGCATCGTGTACGGTGTATAGGCCTATGTCAGCTGGTTAATTTCTCTAATCTTCGCAGGTCTCTAGACCACGGTGGAAACCAGTCAAACAATCGAAACACGGCTTTTAAAAAGCCTGGCGTTAAGCAGGTGTAAACAATTCATGTCGCTCTCCAAGTGTACAAACACACCTGCATGTGTGTGATTTCACAGCATCTGGTGAGGCGCATGTGGAGGAGACTTCACCTATCAAAACCATGGTGGTACCGAATGACATCAGCACCAACAGGTGCGTTCACTGTTGCTTTACCTGGTCTGTGCTTTAAAATATACACCATGTCCGCATCTTCTATTGCAGCGGTTGTCAATAGCAGCCAGAACCGGTCCGCCAGCAATATTATCTGGCCCATGGCCAGACTGCTTTGACAGCAGAAAAAAATTAAAATAAATTGATAGTGACTGGTGCTGAAATAGATCTCAGTCACGACAGCAACAGTTACTCACATATTCACTTCCTCTTAAGTGATGGTGCCTCCAAAATAAGAGTGCGAGAATGTTTTTTTTTTGCAGCAATGCTTTATGTCGAGTTTATTGAGAGCTTTTACTTTGAAAAGTTCTGAAGTGTATTCAGACGAGACTCTGGCCTGCTTGCCACACCTCCGTCAGTAAACGTGATTGGATTCCCTGAATTTTCTCAGGAAAATGAAAATAAGCGTCCATAGGTTTATGAATGCGGATCAAATGTCGGGACGCGCACACACTGCAGCACAGTGAGCATGTGCAAAAGTGTCCTTATAATCAATTTGTTTAAAAATGTCTGCAGGATGTTGGGATCGATCATACAACTCTCCCAACGGGAGTCTCGAACTCTACAGACTAATCTAAACATGCACACAAGCATCCAAGGGTCTGAAATAATTAGAGTTTGTTCTGGTCCGCCATGTAACGGCAGGAAAAAAATTTGGCCTGATGCCAGACTTATTTGCAGACAGACTATTTGCACCTGTTAATATACCTGGGTGGTCTGCACAAGCAAAGTCTATATCTTTTATCAACATCTTGGTTAAGTTCAGATATTGCAGATTTTCATTCAATTTAACAATTCATGATTGACCAGTATAACACCTGTATGTGATTCTCACATTGTCAAATTGCTGATATGTAATTAAAGTCATACTTTCAAGGTGTTGTAACAGAAGACTAAACAGACAAGTAAGAACAGCTGGAGTCAAACCAAACCTGAAAGGACAGCTGGAGATCTTGATGAACAATATATATCAATTAACTGTTTAATGAAAACACTCACCAACAACAATAAGATGAATGTGGAATATCTGTCTTGGCTGAAGACGTGGAAAATCACAGGTGTAGTCTCCACTGTCGGTCACCTTCGTATTTCTGATGATGATGGAGGCGTTGCCGTACTTCAGCTCATCTTGAAAATGTGCGACCCGACCTTTGAACTGATGATCTTGACCTGGACGGCCGTTGTTGTAGTTAGAGCCTCTATCATAAAAGAAAATCTCCTTCGGACCATCTTTCTTCCAGTCAAAGACTTTTGACTCCACGTTCTCCTTGTTGCTGAGTGAACAGGGTAAAATGGCGTCACTCCCTTCTTTCACAACCACTCTGACGTCACCCGACCCTGAAAGAAAAAGTTTATTTTAGTCATTCTGTTCAAATAGAGATCAATCAGGTTCAGACAGAACATCAGATAACACATTTACATGTCACCTCAATGACTCTGAAACACCAGTTTATAAACACGTTAGTTAGTCGGCACATTATTTATGGAGATTTTTCATGTTGGCGTCATTTAAGAATATTTAAGTTGACATAAGAAACATGTCACATGACACAGACACTTTATTAGAGTTGTTTTGGTTTCAGACTGAGGGCTCAGTATGAACCAAGTATCTAAAGATCATAACTACTCAATAATGGAACGCTCAAATAATCTTTACTGCACATTCATTAAAAACAAAATTATATAATAAAGGTCATTGGAAACGAAAAACACAAGCTGACTGAGGGCTGGATTCAAAATCACACAGAAAAACTAAGTAAAACATTTTAATCACATGCTGACCCAACTTGCGTAACTTTCATCACAGCAAATGTGTGTTTGGACCCTGTGTGCCTGTATGCACTCCTGACAACATCTGGACATGCTCCTGATGAGACAGCGGATGGTGTCCTGGGCGTCCTCCTCCCAGACCTGGATCAGGGCATCAGTTCGCTCCTGTACGGTCTGTAGCGCTACTTGGCGGCGCCGATGTGAAAAGTCGGCTCCAGCCTGATTGACAGGTCGCTATGGTAATGGCCTGTCAATCATAGATAATCCCGCCCTGAAACATACTCTGCTTTGTGGTCCATTTTAAAATAAATGGGACCATAATTTACTAAATGAACATCATGTTGTCTTGAAGAAGACTTGAAACTAGCGACTGAGACCATAAACTCATCAGGAAAGTGTTTACTGAGGTAATAATTCAGCTGAGAAGTAAAAACATTTTCACATTATTTCTAATGGAGCAGGACTTCTTTTTGCAACCAGAAGAGTCGCCCCCTGTTGGATTTTCAACAGAATGCAGGTTTCAGGGACTTCCGCATCGGCTTCATATTGTAGACCGGAAGCTTCCCGCTTGTTATGTTAACTGTTGTTATTTATATGCCAACAATTATCCAGGTTATTTATACAGATGTATTTAATGCTTGTTATATTATTTCACAACCACACATACCTATTTGAAAAAAAAGTAAAATCATGTGGCAATAAAAAGACAATTTAAAAATAGAGACATTTGTTTTGTTCAGCTCAGAGTTAAACCTGCATGTCCTTCTTTTCTAATTCTTTGCAGTTCTGACAATATACTCAAATCAGAAATTTCATAATGTAAACTATTTGGTCTAAAGACTAATTTACCACAGTGCTGTATAGCCTACAGTGTGCGCACTGTTTTAGGAGGTGAGAGAGGTGAGATGCTGTATAAGACTGAAACAGAATTTATTCAACATATAGCAAATACATTATTTCAATGGCATTAAATGTACAATTTTGGCTGAAGAATACTGACATTTTACGAGGTCCTTAAGACCGGCAAAAACATAATTCTTTAATTTTTATTTTATTTTAATCAGTGCAAACACTGAGAACGTCATCTTGTGAAATCCATTAAGCCTTTGAGGCAGTATGCTTACATCTGGGCAGTGGAACAACAAAACACAAAAGATAAAAAGCAAATAAGACTATGGCATGTGGCCTCCTTAATTTCTAACTGAGTCCCTTAAAGCACTGACCACCTCCTCTATCCCTGTTATTTGAAAGAGGGAAAGTTTCATCTTTGCAAAGGCACGGTGTTCACCTGATCATCATGGCCACAGCGCTGCTGACTTTGTTAATGCGCGTGGACCACTTAGACTACTAGCTGAGGTCCAGCAAGGCTTGCTTTATTGCTGGCAGCTCTTCTGCGCAGTGAGTTTCAACTTTTTAAAGGTTTTCCTCATGTTTTCCTCCTTACATGTATGTGGTTTAGTAATATTCAGTAAATAATATAAAACTAAATAAATAACTCCTCAAGCTCGGGTCCTCTACCAGAGGCCTGGCAGTTTGAGGGTTCTGCTCAGTATCTTAGCTGTTCCTTGGGCTGCACTCTTCTGGACAGAGACCTCTGATGTTTTACCTGGAATCTGCTGTAGCCACTCTCCCAGTTTGGGGGTCACGGCCCCCAGCGCTCCGATCACCACTGTTGCTCTTACTTTCTACATCTTTTCTAGCTCCTCTTTCAGCCCTTGGTATTTCTCAAGCTTCTCGTGTTCCTTCTTCTTGATGTTGCTGTCGCTTGGGATCGCCACATCTGTCACTGCTCCCTTCTTCTGCTGTTTGTCGATCAACACGATGTGTGGTTGGTTAGCCATCACCAGTTTGTCAGTCTGGATTTTGAAGTCCCACAGGATCTTAGCTCGGTCATTCTCAACTACTTTAGGAGGTGTCTTCCATTTTGACCTTGACTTCCAGCCCATACTCATGGCAGATGTTCCTGTACACTATGCCAGCTACCTGGTTATGGCGTTGCAAGTACGCACTTCCTGCCTGCATCTTACACCCTGCTGTTATGTGCTGTACTGTCTCAGGGGCATCCTTGCACAGCCTCTCATTGGCTACAGTCCCAGGCGGGCTCTGTGTCTGACGGTCTAAAGGGGGTAGCCTCAGGGGTGCCACTCAAAAATAAAGTTTAATCTTCCCACCCCCTAAATGTGTTAATAATGTGACAAGAACTAAACTGACAAAATTTGGATGTATTCTAATAATATTTACTGGTAGCTCAGCACTGACAAAATCTTACAATATGCAACATTTTCCGATTTTAGTGTGTAATATTAACTTTAATATCACAAGTTAGAAAAATGCAAAAATCCTCAAAAAGAAGACCGATAGCTGCTAACAGTTACTTCAGAAGTTAATAATCAACAGTAAAGTATCCATAAGTGTCCAGAGAATGACCGTATTGCAGCTACATGTGTTTTCCAGCTCACACAGTAGCTGCAGATCATCTATGGAGCAGGCGAAACACATGTAGTACATGTAAACCAGACAGCCCTTCAGATAGACCTTCATTACGAAAGCATTGAAGTGGCTGAAGTGGGCAACTGTGGCTCGGGGTAGAGCGGAAGGTTGGTGGTGGGATCCCTGCTCCGCTGGTCTTTTGTGGTCTGCATGTTGAAGTGTCATTGGCCAAGATACTGATACTGCTCCTGTTTTAGCTACACTGGTCATAAACAGAGTCAACGCCTCTTACTGATGTCCACGTTCACATTTATTCTCCTCTGAAGAATCATAGAACACCGTGAAAACTAGAGGATAAACAAAACCGTTTCAAGCACAAAGCACCACCAAAACAACGTTTATATACTCTGTCTCTTATTTCTTATACAGACCGATACAATGTGTCTCACATTTTCCTGTAAACAACATTAAACAGTGCTTAATAATTAACTTAATAATTATTACCGTGTTCGCCTTGTAGACCAGCTGTAGAATAACAGACGGGAGCTTAAAAGTTCGCCTTCTCTGGCGCTACTCTCAGTACTTCCGAGTAACATGTCTAGTCATGTGAATAGTAATAAACCTTTCTCTTCATAAATTTAACAAGAGCAAGCTGGTGTTGTCATGGAAACGGGTTTACGCAGTGCGTGAATAATATACCTGAGACACACCCTCCGTCTAGTGTCATTGATTCCCGTAAGTTTCTTAGTCTAACGTGCATCTGCTGTCGCGACTTCTGCGCTGTAACGTCCCTCAGAGCATATTAACCACTTCTGTCACCTTCCCTGCACGGTGCTGTTATACAGAAACTCTGTGGCTACACTACAACTGTAAGCTGCTGTTAACCTCATAGGCTTACTGTCTATGGGATAAGTTAGGCTACACAAAGTAACACCGTCCCGACCGCCATGTTTACCAACAGAGTTTTCAGGTTTGTGCTCGTGGCGATGAAACTGACCAAAAAGAGAAAAGGCAAACGCTATCAATGTGAAATGAGTAACGTTACAGCTTTAAGAAGTTTTCTTACCTTGTTCATCCCCAAACGTTTGTCCAGACCGAGCGAGGAGGCACACAAGAGGAAGAAACTTCATGAAGTTAGTTGTCGAAGCCATTTTAACATTAAACATGACTTTAGCTTCACTGTAATGCCACTAATGGAGATTTAACGCGTGCCTTCCAACTAGTTCTGCCTGCCCCAATATCCAGAGTTCCGCCCTTGTGCCCCTCAATGATCGTTATCGCTAGAGGGGGGGGTGGAGATTTTAGGTGTCCCGGTCCGATCCTCTTACTCAGTGCAGTGTTATTCCAACCCCCGACTGGTAGAATGGGGAGGATCTGCGTGCTCGCCAGCGGGAGCGAGCGAGAGAATTTTGTTATTATTTATTCTCCTGCACATTAGCGGAGAATAAGATGATCCAGCTGTAGCTCTGTGTCTGTCCTCTCTGCTCCACCTGAAGCTGTGAGCTGCACTTTATCAGAGGCGCTGAAATTAACTTTTGGATTTGTGGTGAGGTTTAGGCAGCAGTGACGTGTCTGCGGCTGGCGTGGCTACATCTAATGTACGCCTACTCTTAATTTCGCTACATTTTCCATTCACACCTTTTATAACTTAACCACATGCAAAAAGTTTTGTTCTTCAGCGGTTCTTTGGGGTGGTTGAGGAGCAATGTAGCACCTCTACCATGTAAAGAACCAGCTCAGCTCCTGTATGGTTCTTAAGAGGTTTTATAAACTCTCTTTTTAGTCTTTTGAAGAAACAACAACACTTACAGAATGTATATTTCCTGATGATAACATATTAAAGCAGTGGTTCTCAACCTTTTTTCCTGCAAACTCCCCCAACATGTCTAAGGTTCTTTGCAAGTGCACTGGAAAGGAAGCAAACAATACTGTAAAGTTAGGTTACATGTTGCTTTAATTTATATAAGCTATTTATCATATTTACTGACCTTTATCTAAGACTTCGTCGTCAAATGATTATAGATGGGCTGGAGGAATAAAGTATGTTCTTTGAGAAAAAGCTAAATAGGCCTACCACAGTATATAAATATGCCCTGAATTGTTTATTTCACAAAAGGCATTTATGGTGGGTAGAAAAGTGACACTTCTTTAAATTAAATGAAAATTAGAATTATAGGATGTTTTTGTAGCCTTCTGTCTATATAGCCTTATACAACCCAACAAAGTATCTTACACTCTTAACCCGAATTAGTTGACTTTACTCGCAAATCGCGTGGAAACCCGTTGCCTTAAACCACTTTAGTTTTTACACAAGCTGAAACTAAACATGTTGAGTTGTATTAACATGGAACCCTAACTTTTTACACAGGATGAAACTAAACATGTTGAGTTGTATTAACATGGAACTTTAAGTTTAGTATTTATATTTATTAGTAGTGTGTTCTCAAAATCATTAGATAAAACTAGCTATTATGACTTGTTATTGCTACTCATCATTTAACACAATTACTGTATTTTCCTCTAAATTAATTAGCTTTTGATTTTTAAAACAAATATTTTATAAAAAATTTTCAATTAAATTGGATGGATGGAAAAAAAGAAACACCTCTTAATGCTTCCATGCATTTTATTTTATTTTTAAATGGCAAAACACAGCCAAACATCAGGTAAACATCAACAATCAAAACATCAATTATCCAATCTAAAACTATTAATCTTAAAAAGGTCATTTCAAATCATTGAAACAATTGTGTGTGGATGTTGTCTGTGTTGTCTTGTGTGTGTGGGTGTTGCCTTGTGTGTGTGGGTGTTGCCTTGTGTGTGTGGGTGTTGCCTTGTGTGTGTGGGTGTTGCCGTGTGTGTGTGGGTGTTGCCTTGTGTGTGTCTGTGTTGCCATGTGTGTGTGGGTGTTGCCTTGTCCGTGTCTGTGTTGCCGTGTGTGTGGGTGTTGTCCGTGTCTGTGTTGCCGTGTGTGTGGGTGTTGTCCGTGTCTGTGTTGCCGTGTGTGTGGGTGTTGTCCGTGTCTGTGTTGCCGTGTGTGTGGGTGTTGTCCGTGTCTGTGTTGCCGTGTGTGTTGCCCGTGTCTGTGTTGCCGTGTGTGGGTGTATGTGTCTCTAATTTACAAGATAAAACCATAGATGTCCCCTGAGTGGTAAATCCATAAACAAAATAAAATTTACCAGAAACACCCACTCAAATGTACAAGAAAACGCAAACAAACAGGATCTGTTCTGATCATCTGCCTAAATGAAGGAAGGACAGAGCATGAACCAACAGACTATCATATGAGAACAATCTACATAGACTGGTGAAGAACTAGAACAATAATGTCTTAGGCCTATGTCTTTCTGCTACAAGTCACATCCTTCAGCATGATTCCTACAGCAATTAAGTGTGTGTCAGTGTTGTTTGTGTGTGTTGTGTGTGGGTGTTGTACGTGTGTGTCTGCGTTTTACGTGTGTCTGTTCGTCTGCTTGTTTTACAGAAAATAAAAAGGTTTACCCCACAGGTAAGAAAGTATTTTACTAGTGTGGCAAAAAGAAAAATGTAGTCAACCGCCTCTTACAGTAGACTTGACCTCTCTTTTTACATTGCGAGCTGATTTTTCAAACTCTGTAGCTTTGGCTTTAGGTCAGTCTGGCCTAACAATAGCAATACCTGTTGGATGAACTGAAATGTGAGCTTCATGGTCTTGGGGTAGTTAAGATGGAGTGCATACATGAGTCCAAACAGAATGCACATTGCTTTTGGCAGATCTTGAATGTTCTCCATTACAACTTCTCCCTCAATGACGATTTTCAACGAGGCTGGACTGAGATGCTGGGAAGACGTGAGCACAGCACCTTCACGCTCAATAAGAAGCTTCCCAACGTCAAGGTCACGAAAATAATCATCATCATCAGATTCCTAAATAAAGAATAACAGAAGAGCACAATCATTACATTATATTTCTCATTTGAAAAACAACTTTAATCAATATAAGAGTGTCATGGTGAAAAATAAATAATGGTAAAAAAATATAAGAAAGCAAGAGCTTACTTACAAAGCTTGCTTTGAAGAAGTTTGTAGGGTTGTCCCCAAGGATGATAGGAAGCCCTCTGAGCACTTGTGTCCGGATCGTAGTTGGCTCTGTAGTCTTTTGAGAATTAAACACAGTACAACAAGTTAGCTAGCTAAAATAAAAAACAAATAATGATCTATAAGAAAGCTTAAAAAAAACAAGCAATGTTTTGATTGAATTATACAACTAATAGAGTAGCATTGTGATATGATGTTTATACAAAACCTGAGATAAACAACGCCAAGTACAGAATGTGTATGGACTTACATTGGTCTGTTGTGAAATCTGTGTCAACAACTGTCCAACATTCCCTCTCTTGGATTGAAATAACTCGAGGAAACGAGGACTGTGCCGGTCGATGCTCTCATAGAACTCCTGTTTGAGGTTCTTGCCCACAATCCTGCTGAACTCCATGAACACCTGAAAAACACAGAGAACAAAAAAACTGAACTTAGATCAACTGAACTATACAAGGCAGCTAAGCCATCTGCAAAGTAGTGCTGAAAAACATCATGAATGTCCTTTTTATATGATTTGCAATGTTGATGAAAAACATCATGCCCCAAATTAAAAATACCAATGTTTTCCTTAAAGAGGACAAGAGAAATATACATCTAGAAACAATATATAATAATAGAAAGATAGTTATTTGTTATGTTCTTTCTTAAACATACTTGATCTTCAGTGAAAAGGGCAGGCCAGCGTTTCACCATCATGCTTATAGCGGGTTCCGACTCCACTACCTCTTTTCTTCTCAGAGAAAAGGTCTGATCCATCTTCTGTTTCACAAGAGGTCCATTTGGTGTTCTCTTCTGCATTTCATCAACCACCTTTACAGGCCCCCTCCAGTGCTGCCTGATCAAATCCATCCGGAAAGTTGGGCAAGTAGTTGATTTCACCTTTGTTTGCCTTCTTGATGCGCTTGTTAGCTGGTTGTCCTGCTGAATGCCTTCCCCGCTTACCTGCATTTACTGAAACATCAAGGCATCCTGATTGCCTACGCTTTGTTCGATAATTACCCATTTTATGCTTAAGGCTATTTTTCCAACCACAACAGCGAGTGGTTGAGCCTCGCTCCTGGAGACAAGGGTGCTTGTTTATCAGTGCTGCTGCAACACTTTCGAACTGAGCAGCAGTTGGGTATGCTGTGTAGCTATACATGCTCTCTGCCAATCTTTCAAGTATCTCGTGTTTTAGTTCTTTTGATACTTTAAGGTATGTACCCTCACTCATAAACAGCAGATCTGCTTGCCTAAGTCTATACTCTACATCCACAGACATGGTAGGGATATCAAAAAATTCTGGCCACTGTTTATGTCGCTCCTGAGATGAGTGTGAGAGTAGGTCTGTATCTGCTGTACTGGGGGTGTCACTGAAGACTTCATCAGATGAGACAGGTACCAGCTCAAGGACAGGCATGACTTTAACTGTTGGTTTTTCTGGAAGTTCTTCAGTAGCTGTCAGATTGCATAGTTCATTATTGAATTCAGGGTCTTGGTATTGGAGACTAAAGTTATAATGAAGTCCCAGTGATTCTTTAAGCTTGCTTATCAAATCTTCAACTGTAGAGGGCCTTGTGGTTAGGATGACTTTTCTTATATCCGCCTCTGTTAGAATGACCCTCAAGGTCATCTTCTGGTTTGCAGTCATCTTGGGAATAGAAACAATAATTAGGTCATTAGAAATATAAATATCCAAAAGGCCATTCAATTGCTGAGCATAGAAAATAGTGACTGTCCCTTTAGATTAAAGTGGTAAATCCATTAAAAAAAACCCCGTATAATTCACAAGAAATCCCCACTTAAATGTGTAAGAAAAACATTTACAAAAAAAGTCACAAATTTAGGGAAAAATAAAAACTTCTCAGAGACTGTATCATTATACATTTCAACATGAGCTCTAAAATAAGCTACAAAATGTTCCATTACAGCCTAGATTTATTGCAGAGATCACACTGTGGCTTCTTAACAGAGAATATAACGCCTGAGGGTCACTACCAAATTATCGCCATATCTGTACGCTGAAAGAGGGAAAACATCATTCAGCTCTTTCAGCTGCACCACACACAGAGAGGGGTTACTGCTGTCACAGATGAGTTCGAAAGATCTCAAATGCTCATGGTACCATGCAGTCATCTCATTGCAAACAAACAGGATCTCAGTGTTAAGTGCCACTATCTGTTTGATCTGTCTAAATGAAGGGAGGCCAGCACATGAACCAACAGAGACTATCATGTCAGCACAATATCTAATTCCATCTACATAGACTGATGATGCAACAAGATCTGATGTAAG